GCCCTCTTGACTTTCAGCAAGCAAGATTGTATCATCTGCATGTAGCAGGTTGTTAATGAGTCTTCCTCCAATCCTGGTGCCATGTTCTTCATATAACCTAACTTCTTGAATTAGTTGCTGTGCATACAGATTTAATAAATACAGTGAAAGAATACAATCCTGGTGCACACTTTTTCTGATTTTAAACCATTCAGTGTCCCCTTGTTCTGTTTGAATGACTGCCTCTTGGTCTATGTACAGCTTTCTCATGAGCACAATTTAGTGTTCAATAATACTCATTCTCCACAATGTTTTCCATAGCTTTTCATGATTCACACAATTGAAAGCATTTGCATAATCAAAGCACAGGTAAACATCTTTCTGGTATTCTCTGCTTTCAGCCAAGATCCAACTAATGTCAGCAATGATATCCCTCGTTCCACATCTTGGCCTGAATCTGGCTTCAGCCTCTGGTAGTTCCATATCAATGTCCTATTGCAGCCATATTTGAATTGTCTAGCAAAATTTTTCTTACATGTGATATTAATGATTACTTCTGGCTGTGGGTGAATCAGCTAAGGCTTCAGGGATACGGTGTCCTGTCAGGTGAAAGTGCTTAAAGAATGAAGTAGTACGGAAGGGCAAGAAGCAATTCAGGTGCAGGAACTACATCAAGGTAGATCTTGGATGGAGTTTATGTGCATGTTTGGTTTAGAAAAATTGGGACATCATCTTCATGGAGATGGTAATTGTACTCTTGAAATTGCTGAGGGGAAAAGGAGGAAAAACATCTAGACTAGAGCCTTCAGCACCTGCTGCTTTTGGAGAGCAGGATGGGAAGATGAGACTAGAAAACAGCCAAAGTGCTTTGTCACAGTAGTCCAGGGAAGAATGTGTACAGAGGAGGCAGAGGAGAGAATTGGCAGTAAGTTCTATCGGTGTCCATCTAGCCAGATGAGCATTGAGGAAAAGCATGGGATCTTGTTCATCAAGGCACTTCACTGCTCCGAAACTGTTTCCTTATCTATGAGAAAGGCATGTTGCTCAGAGGTGCCATCCAGTTGATTCTGGGTCATGGTGACCTGATGTGTACAGAGTGGAACTGCTCCATAGTGCTTTCGAGGCTCTGATTTTCAGAAGCAGGTCGCCAGGCCTGTCTTCCACGGTGCCTCAACCACTTCTTGGAAGCCCTATACTGACTCAGTGACCCTTTTGGCCAGTAGTTAAGTACATAACCAGTTATTTGTACCACCCAAGGCCTTCTATAAGGAGCTCTGGTAGCGTAGTGGTTACGAATCGGGCTGCGAACCGCAAGGTCAGTAGTTCGAAACTACCAGCTGTTCCATGGGCGAAAGATGAGGCTTTCTGCTCCCGTAAAGATTTACAGCCTCGGAAACCCTGTACAGGGTTGCTATGAGTTGGAACCAATTCCACGGCACATAACAACAACAACAAGGCCGTCTATAGAAAAGGAATATTGATTTGATTAAATCATATATGTGAATCAATTCAGTTCCAGGAACATCATAAGCACTGAGCCCATTTAAGGCAATGGCTGTCACCACTACTGCTTTGTTAACCAAGAAAGTCAGTTGATCTCCAGGAAAATTTCAACACATGCAAATGTGTGTGTAGAAGTACCACCTTTCTACATGCATGTTTGTTCTATAAATATATCCATGTATATACAAGAGTACTTCAAAAAGTTCATCGAGAAATTCCATTCTCTTTTCATTCCATATTTTCTGTGAACTTTTTGAAGCCTCTTTATACAGTAAAGGGCACAGATTGTAATTACACAGTTTGGTGAGTTTTCACACATGTATAGAACTTAATGTATGAAAGAAACAGACTATTTCTAGTGTGGCACTATAGGATAAGCACTGGACTAAAAAGCTGATTTGAACTGCAAGGTGGCAGTTCAAACCCATCAACCACTTCTTGGAAGCCCTATACTGACTCAATGACCTGTAACAACATTTAGGTTCCTTATGGTCTTCTCCCAGTCTATAAAGCCCCTTCCAGAGTTGTTGTCAGTCTTTTAAAACCATAGCACTTTGCGGTGTCTCGTTGAATTTCCCTGATTATTAGCGATGTTGGGTGCCTTTTTGCATGCATATTGCCATTTGGACATCCTCTTAAGTGACTTTTCAAGTTTTAGTGTTTTTTTAATTAGATTACCTTTATTCAAATATGTTGAATGCAAATTTCTTCCCATAGAAGCTTACCTTGTCTCTCATAATGGTTTATTTTGGAGAACGGAAGGTCTTAATTCTAATAAATTTCCATTTTATCAGTGGTTTCTTACATGCGAAGTGCTTTTTTAGTATGCAGACCCAAAGGCCATAATGAAGTTTTCCTGTAAAATCTTTTTATTGTGCTTTTTGCATTTAGTTTGTGATCCATCTCATTAATCTGTGTGATAGGATGATGGTAGGGTTCAGGCTCTTTCTTGCTCTCCGTATAGATACCTGCTTGACCAAGCACTGTTTCCTGAAAAGAATGTTCTTCCCCCGTTGAATTTCAGTGGCGCTTTTGTCAAAAATCAGGTGTAGCCATTTATGTGTGATAGTCTGTAATCTTAACCCAAGGCGTACATCTGGGGTCGTTAATCTCAAAGGGGGAATAAATTGCAACAGCAGCTCTGCATTTACATGTTTGCTCTGGTGTTATTAGCAATATCATTAATTGTCCAACAAAAGGAGACAGCAAACAGTACCTAGGCTACGTCCCTATGGGTAACTCCTACTTCACCCTTGTGGTTATTAAGTGCCATCCAGTCAGATCTGACTCATAGCAACCCTGTATAAGGTTTCCGAGGAGCGGTTGGTGAATTTGAACCACTGACCTTAATGGTTTAAATCGACCTTACTATCCAGTGCATTATCTGTATTTGCCCTCGCTTTGAAAGCACTGAACTAAATTTTACTTGTAGCAAATTCTTTATCACAGTCACCTTCATTTGCTGCAAATGCAGCTTTTAAATCTTGCACTAAAGTAGGGCTAAATAAGAACCATATTCACCCGTTGCAGCTCACCTGCAAATTCCATTTAAAGAGTCAGCGGCATAGGACCAGCTGTCATTCATAAGCCGGGGGACTGCCTGTATAGCATCAGAGGGCACTATTGACTCTTTGAAATGGGAAAAAAGCAGAGCAGAAATTTTCATCTATATATAAAAATGGTAATGTTTCTTTTTAAATATCTATACGAATCGGGCTGTAAACCGCAAGGTCAGCAGTTCGAAACCGCCAGCTGCTCCGCGGGAGGAAGATGAGGCTTTCTACTCCCGTAAAGATTTACACCCTCGGAAACCCTGTACAGGGTCGCTATGAGTCGGTTCCGACTCCACGGCACATAACAACAACAACAACAATTGTTGTAATAACGAGAAACTTAGAACTAAAATTGTTTCATTCCTTTCAGTTTTAATTTTTATCATGTTTTTATGCTGCTTTATTTTTTCTAGTGTAAATGTCATGAAACAACTCATTGGTTCATCTAATTTATTTGTGATGCAAGTGGAAATGGATGTGTACACAGCCCTCAAAAAGGTATGAGTGTTGTCTGTGCAGACTCAGTACTAACTCAGCATTGCTTGTACTGCGGATGAACTGGAAATAGGTGCTGCTAGAGAGTGGTAGAGAAATGGTTATAAATGTAAGAAAAAGAAAAGAAATATCCCACAGTGTTGAACAGTTTTTGTCTCTAGGATCATTCATGATTTTAATTTTTTTCTTTAAACTTTTTTTATCCTAGAACTAGCTTTCTGTTTTTTTCCAAAAATTTTTTCAGCAATAACCATGTTATTATGTTGTGTACATAATCAGAAATGTTTTTTGTAGGAAGTATGTATCCCTGATGGAGCCATGGTTAAAGCCCTTGGCTCCATGGGAGAAAGATGTGGAAGTCTGCTTCTGTATGGCTCTACAGCCTTGGAAATTCTGTGGGGCTGCTCAGCTCTTTTCTGTAGGGTTCTGGGAGTTGAAACTGACTCACTGGCATGATTTCCAGAAATGTTTTCAAAACTGTGTTTTAGTAGAATTAATGATTTTATGATTAAATTTTCATGCACAAGATTCTAGAAAATGTTAGCATTTACTGTTTTAAAGACCATAGTTAAAATTCAGGCATTTGCTTCACTTCACCATTTTGAAATGTTTCAACATTTCTTAATCTAATTTTATTTTCACAACTCTCTGAAAAGACACATCAGCTCTTATTCTTGTTCTGTAGATGGTGAGATAGTTCTTAAAATTACTGAGTGACAGACATGAGGCATAACCCCTAGTCCCATGCTTCATAGTTTTGCCGTTAGGTTTGTGGCTATAGCGTGAAGTCGGCATTTAACATGGCTGTAGAACCTGCGAAGAAAATACTTTATTTGTAGGTTTATAGGGGGATTGCTGGCTTATTTTTATGGTAAAAATAGAACTTCAGTATTTTTCTTCAAGGAAGTTTGCTACTTGGGTTAGCCTGTCATTAGAGGGATGGGAGAGAGCCTGCTTCCCTATGTGAGCCACTGGTAGGTAGCATTTGTTCTTTCCCATTTAATCTGCTTTTATTCCAGTAAAGAGAAATGCTTATAGGGTGCTTACTGTGTGTCCTAAGCCTGTTAACAAATGTTCAATCTTTTACTGTCCATGTGAGGTGGACTTACTACCATTTTTACTTTACAGTTCAGAAAGTTAAGACCTGGAGAGAAAAATTTAATTTGCCCAGTGATTTAAAAGTCCATGCCTATTAACTGCTATGCATATTGTCTCACCAGCAATAAGACAAACTCTTTTTTCACAAGTTAAATTTTTTACTTTTATTATCTCATATAGTGTATAGTGAAATTGGGTTGTTAATTGGTGAGTAGAAGAAAATTAGTTTAAAATTTCTAATGAAATGTATATGTGTAGTCAACCTTTCCCGTCACTAGTATCATCTGTAGTATGTTTGACACCACCAGTGCTTTTCAGAGATTAGCTGATTCCTTAGCACTTACTCATGAAGTTTTTATCCTGATTACAGCTATGAAGAATTTAAAGCCATATACTGTATTTCAGTTGCTTATAAAATAGAAATTAACTTCTTTTAAGTTGTATGGTTTAAGGTGGAAACCATTTGAAAATATAAATTTATAAAATGAGGAAGTCTTAGCTTTTTTGTTTACCTTATTATTTTTTTTTAACTTAGTGGATGTTCCTTCAACTTGTGCCTTCTTGGAATGGATCTTTAAAACAGCTTTTGACTGAAACAGATGTCTGGTTTTCTAAGCGGAGAAAAGGTATGCCTAAAATTTTCAGTGAGAACTTTAAATTTTTTCTATGAAATAGATTAGACTCAGGTCCTGACTTGTTTATAAACTTAGAGAATTTTAGACCTTGAGAGAACATTAGCAGTGATCAAATTCAGCCCATCATTTACACTGAGAAATAGAAGCCAGATAGCCAAGACGCTTTGTTTGCATAGCATTGTTACTCCTTGAACTGACACTCTACTCTGATTCCAAGCTTTTATTTTCCCATTTTGTCACCAACAGATATTGGCAATGACCTTTATCTTTTGTTTGATCACATTGCATTTTCCTTAATAATCTATCAGGCAGTAGTCCTTAACATGGAGGCCCATAGACAGGTGTTGGTGTATAATAACCCCCTAAAAATGGATGGAAATTTTGATATGTATATATGTGTTGCAGGCATTTTTCAAGGGAAGAATTTCCATACTTTTCATCAGATTCTCAGTGGACACTGATCTAAAATTGGTTACAATCAACTGCTATAAGGTTTAAGATGGGCAGAGTTGGAGAGTACAGTATATTTTTACTTTGTGAACCTATGGCTATAATGTCTTTATTTCCTATTTTGTATTTTAACATAGAATTAACGTATTAACTTGTGTTCATCACAGAGAGCTGTAGCATAAATTAGAAGAGTCTCAAGATGTTCAACATTGAGTAAGGTTTTTGGGCTCTACAGTTCCATTGGAGTGCTCAGTCCTCAGGAGAGGGTTGCTGGAAAGATACTATAACCCATTCTCAAACCTTCCTTTCCCATCTTGTTCCACTGTAAGCTCCAAACCCCCCAGTAAGGCACAGAATGGAATTCCCAGCATAGTAGTCTAATGGTACCAGATTTCCAAGGGCATTTTTTCTAAATCGTCCTAAGATTTTATCCTCAAGCCCAGGATTTATAAAATCCTTGAAAACTTTATAACCGGCTTACTTATAGTCTTGTAGACATACTATGTGTGTATGTGAGTATCCATAAAAATATTCAGGAATAAAATAATAGATTTAAAGAATAATTTTTAATTTAAACCATTTCTTATAGATTTTGAAGGTATGGCCTTCCTTGAAACTGAGCAAGGAAACCCTTTCATGTCAGTATTCAGGCACTTAAGGTTACAGTATATTATTAGTGATCTGGCCTCCGCAAGAATTATTGAACAAGATTCTCTAGTACCTTCAGGTAAGAGAACATGAAGAAAGTACCATTTTAAGTAATATTCTTCTGGTGATGGCATTATAGAAAAATAATGAAGAAAATAGAAATTATACTTAATTTAAAAAAGGTACACATTTTTATACTGAAGTTGAATCATATAGTTCATTTTCTGTGCTTGCATTCTATATTGTGGGTATTTTCCTATACCATTAAATACCTTCCAGAATATTTAAGTGACTATATATGATATTCTATAATAATGGATGTTCTTTTTGTTTTTGTTTTATTTTTTTAATGTTTTATTGTGAATTATATGATAGTTTACATGAGAGAACCTCAGTTCCATATTCATTCCATCGTATATCATTACATTTCCAATCCCCTCCATGCATCGTCTTCCGACCACAGGGCATATCCTAGAAGCCCGTGCTCTACACTCCCCCCTCCCCACTCAGTCTTCGGCCCACAGTTCCTCTCCCTCTCTGGATCCAAAGTCCCCAGCCGCTTCATCCCTCCATGTCATCATCTCTGTCTCCATCTCAGGCATCCCCGGTTCTCTGGGTGGGGTCCCATTCTGGGCTCTTGTCCGTTGGTGGTCCCAGAGACCTCCGCTCCTAGACTGGAGAAATAATCGCTCTCTTCCTTGCTACAAAACATCTACCCTTGCATTTCCAACCCTCATAATCTGTCTTTATAACCATTATTCACTACAGTATTGCATATAACCCATCTGTATTTCATTTCATCAGCTCCACCTAGACAAATTGGATAGTACTCACTGGAGATTCTGCTTTCCTCCATGCCCCCTAGCTCTAGGTTCCCTCTTGAAAGCTTGTAAGCCAGTTACTTCTTGCCTTTGTAGTCCCTTCCTCCCCATTTGGGTATCCAATGTCCAAGTTGCCCCTCTCTGTCTACTGTGTGTGGAGGGGGTAGGAATGTTTCTTGCTGTAAGGCTTTTTGGCCTCTTTTGTGTCACTGCATTTGTATGCTTAGGTCAAGTTCATCAGCTTGGGTCAGCTCAATCTTCTTCTTACCCCCCCCACCCCCACCTCTTCTTTCTTCTCCTGGTTGAGCTCTGATCATCCAGTCCCAGTCACGTGGGTGTCATCTGCAAGTGTGGGTGTTCTTGTGCACATGCCCTCTCTTCCCATCAGCCAGCAGCTCCATTCTCCACTTGAGTCCTGCGTGGCCATGTCACTGACTCTGGGCCCAGGAGTCCTTGGGTCTTCTTGCACTTCTTGCCAACCAGGTCCCCAACCGGGTCCACAGAAGCCCTCTGAATATTGTGAGGCTTAGCTCGCTGCTTCATTGCTGCCTTTACCCCATTTCTCCCCAACGGTGATGTGTGTGTTTACCAATCCGAGTGTGCATTTCCACCGAGTCTCAGTTTTGGGGGGAATAATGGATGTTCTTTAACTTGATTGACCAATGTACCATTTTTGGACCAAAAATTTTAAAGTACTTTTAGTGTTTTATTTAAAGGCCATAACTGTTTTTCCTATTGTTGTTTTTTTGTTAAGTGCCATCAAGTCAGTTCTGACTCAGCGACCCTATGTAGGGTTTCCAAGGAGCAGCAGGTGGTTTGAACTGCCTTCCTTGTTTTATGATCCTACAATGCCAGACTGGGAGTCCAGTAGCTTTTCTTCTTCTTGTTGTTAAGTGCTGTCGAGTTGATTCCGACCCATAGCGACCCTATATAGGGTTTCTGAGGAACAGCTGGTGAGCCTGAACCGCTGATCTTGCTGTTCAAACAGCTTTGCAGTCTGGTGCATAACCCATAACACTTGTTTTCTATTTTTTGATATGTTTGTTTTTTCCCCCTTGTCTAGTCATTCTGAAGCCTTAAACTTCGCATGGAAACAAATGTAATATCTTTGTTAATTATAATTAAACATTTGAACAATTACTGATTTAATTTCCAGTGTTTGTGTAAGATTTAATTTATTACGTATATATGTATAGAGTCATGGTGTGGTACTGTAAGATAAGCACTGGACTGCTCACTGCAAGGTCAGCGTTTAAACCTTAGAACAGTGGCTACTCCTTGGAAATCCTATGCAGGTTTGTTATGAGTCAGAACCAACTTGATGACACTTACCACCACCACCACCAATGTATATAAGAAATGGAGTATAGTGTTTCTGCTTGAAGGTTAACTTAATAAACATTTAGAGTAATAGAATTGAAAGTTTGTCTGAAGATTACATTCCCAATTGCATGCCAGCCCTAGAATAATTTCCATCTGCTGTACAGCAGGCGTAGCCATGGTGGAATGTGAGGGGCCACAGCCAATTACATATGTTCACTCCAGCTGTGCGTCCTTTTAACGCCCTGTAGAGAAGAACTTTGAAAGCGGTTGGGAAAAAAGACTTCTAACATAATTGAATTTAGGTGTGCCTGTGATACAAGTAGCTTTATATCTTACTGTCATTTAAAAATACACAGTCTTGCATATGTAAGTGGATAAATAAGTTTTCCTTTATATCCAAATAGAAATTAAAGTTTCAAAGCAGAATATAAATGAAAACTACCATGCCTTTTGTTGGTGGGGGGGCGGGGGCACATAGCTGAAATTGCTGTGCTAGGTTGATATATGCTCTCAATAGGAAGATAGCCTAGGTTTGAAATAAGTTAAATTAAAATAGTCCGAAATGTGTTATTATTAATCACAGCTGTGCATTCAGCAATCTGGGAAACATTAGTATATCCATTTACCTTCTTTAATTCAAATTTTTTAGAAATGTTTAATTCCTGTTCAAAACTTTATGTTTTAGGGTTCATCTGTGTGTTGAATACCATTATTATTTATTTCATGGATTTAGATGTATCTTAGGTCAGATTATTAAATCTGTTTTACTTCATACTCATGAATATTACTTACCAGCTTTTCCATGTAATTTTTTTTTAAAAAAAGGTCACACCTTTCTTCCTTTACTCTATGTCCTCCATATATGAGGGGGATTCAAAAAGTTCATGGAAAAATAGAGTGAAAAGATAATAGAATTTTTCCACAAACATTTCGAAGGCCCCTCATATAAATATAACCAAGTCTTGTTTTGTTAAAATATAAAAACAAATAACCCTCCCTTGACGTTATGCCCTCCATAGCAATTGCCCTTTCCTTTCTGAAATCCCTTATCCAGAGAGTAGTCTGCAGACACCTCTTTGTATTTTCCAGTCATCTCTCTTTTACCCCTAGTATTTCACTGAAACTACTACTGGCGCTGTGGTTAATGCGCTGGATTGAAAGTTGGTTTAAACTGCAAGGTCGGTGATTCAAGTTCACCAGCTGCATCTAGGAAACTCTATACAGGGTCTTCATGGGTCGGAACTGACTTGAAGGCACTTAACAACAGCTGTAGCAGATGTTAGGATTGTCCTTTTATAAAATGCAGAGACCTTGTTTTAGCCATATGCCAACTTCTCTAGCATTTTATATCGTTTTACATCATGGTTTGTTAGCTTTTTCTTGGGAGTGTCTACTGTATTACCTCAGAAATGCTCAGCTCTTCCAGTTCTCTTCTATTTCTGTGCATTTTCTCTTTCTTTTGTAAGCTGTTCTTACTCTGCCTACCTGTTTACTTCCTAAGAGTGCCTTGGCCCACTAATCTTTTCACTCTGAGTAGTGTCCTAGAGGTTTCCTGCATTCACAGGGTTTAGTTCTGACTCTCTTGTTGCATGCATGGCTATCCAACTGGTGACTAGTCATCTACAAATTGCTCCTGTTTACCTGTCCAAAACTAAACTTATCTTTCTCCTCCACCCTAATGCCTGCCAGCTTTTCTTCCTGCCTTCCCTATATCAGGCATCAATATTACTAATACTCTAACCTCAGGAGGCAAAATCCTGGAAGTCATTTTATACTCCTAAATCTTTACCCTTATATCCAGTGGCAGAGGTGGTGGCACAGAGAGACCAAGTAGCTACATGCTTCTACCCATGGATCAGGTACAGCTGAGTATCTGTGGAGAGGAGACTGGCTTTGCAGAATGTGCTCTTTGGTCATTTACAGACTTGCTAAAGGAGCTTTGTAACACTTACCTGAGCAGGGCAGAGGCCCAGGAGCCACATGGCTGAGAGGCCCAAGAAAAGAGTGAGGTCTCCCTGCAGTAAGACAGACAAGAGGCATTCCTGACTGGAGGCCTGTTGCATCCTAAGTTGTTTCTGATCCTGAATTGTACCCTGTTCACTTCCATAATAAACCTCATAAACATGAGTATTGTCTATGAGTTCAGTGTGGCCACTGCAATAGACTATTAAACCCAGATATGACATGAAGCAGAGTGCTGTGGGAGGAATGGATGGTGTCAGAAGGTTGTAGGGTGGAGGCATGTCTGACCACCATGTCTCAGGAATTGGCCATGGGCTGATTTTGAGTGTGAATCTCCTTCATGCTTGTGAAGTCAGAAGAATTCAGATATGACCTCTGCATAATTTTTGTAGTTAGTCTCAGGTTGTTGTCTGCTGTTGTTGGTTCTCTGTTCAATGGAAAGTTGTGTGATTGGTTTGATTTTTGAAGTTCTTTTAATTTCTGGCGATGTCCTAATTTCACCATCATATTTGATGGACACTTTTGCTGGGTGTATGTTTGTTGGCTATCTATTCTTTTTTCCCCAGTTTTACATGTATTCCCATTGCCGCCTTGCCTGCATGGTTTCTCCTGAGAATCAGAGCTTAGTCTTATTAGTTCTCATTTGTAGGCAACTTTCTGTTTTTTTTCCAAGCTATCTTGGGGGTCTTTCCTTGTCTCAAGTTTTGAAAAGTTGATTATATCTTGGTAATTTTCTTTTGGGCTCTATGTCCTGCTTGGAGTTTGTTCAGCTTCCTGAATGCATATATCTTCATCTTTCGTGATATTAGAAAAGCTTTCTTCCAACAACTCAACAATTTTCTCTGTTGGTTCTCTGTCTCTTCGTGTTCTGGAATTCCAGTCACATTTAAGTTATTGCTCTTGCTAGTGACATACATAAATCTTAGACTTCCTAATATTTCTTTTGTTCTTTTTTTTCTAATTGCCCCTCTAACAGATGAATATTGAGAGATTTGTATTCAAGCTCACTAATTCGGCTTACCATTGATTCAGTTCTACTTCTTTGCCCTTTCAATGTATTATCTATTTCTAAGGTCTTGATATTAATCTCCTGGCTTTCTAATTGTCTTTTTTGTATGGTATCTAATTTCTCATTTGTTTTGTCAATTTGTTCTTATAACGGTAATACATTGCTTGATTTCTTGACTGCTGCTTACATGAGTGTCCATGGTGGATCCGAGCAAAATGAAGTCTTTGACAACTTCAAACTTAACTCCACCTATCTAGGTGTTATTTATTGGTCTGGTAGTGAGGATTTTTGTTTTCTTTACATTGAGATGCAACCCATATTCAAGTTGTCCTCCTTGATCTTCAGCAGTGTTTTAAGTCTTCTTCGCTTTCAGTAAACAAGGTTGTATCATACGCAAATCACACACAGGTTGTTAACAAGTCTTCCTCCAATCCTCATACTATGCTCTTCTTAACATAATACAATGAGATGGATTGGCACATTGGGGCAGCAGTGGGTTCCAGCATAGCAATGATTGTAAGGTTGGTGTGTGACAGAGCATTGTTTCTTTCTGTTAGGCAGAATTCAGTACTCCTTAAGCATGAACTCTCCATTCCCCTCCCACCAGCCTCTGGTAACCACTAATAAATTTGGTATTTGTGAAAGATAACTTTTACTTCTTTAAAAAATCTTGAAGCCATATTGCTAAAATATGTTTGTAAAGTATGTTACCTGCTTTATTTGTATCTATGTTAAATATGAGCTTAAAAATGTCAAGCTTTACCAACTTCTTTAAACCTTATATGCTGTTCCATATATATATATATAT